AATTCTGGGAGGCCAAGGAACAGCCTATTATCTCTGCATGCCATTAATTTTCATGAGTAGTTCAAACCAATGTTCATAGAAACTGTCAGGCATCTTTCCATTTGTCTAGCAGGACCTGGATTTGGGTTTATTTATCTTTTCATTATATACCTTATCTTTAAGCAGAAGCAGCCCAAAGAGTTCAGTGCAGCTGTGCACATTCCAAGCCCTCCACCGGGCCTTGTGCCCAGTAGCATGTGAGATGCTGTCTGCAGCTCAGTGAAGGCATGTCACAGGCAAAGCCACTCATGAAGAATTAAACTTCAGATTTGTTTGACTAAACTTCTGAATTCACCATGGTTTCCTTGTTTTGCCAGCCTGAAGAAGTAGCCTAGCAGGTTCTTGAGTCACAAGCCAAAATGCCTCCTTCATCCTCCCTGGAACTGATTACTAATAGGTATTCTTGATGAAATGATTTAACATAATGTGCGGAATGAGATCACTAAGTCAAAATATCTTCCCCTAAGTGACTCTCTCACTGCTGGCCTGAATGCCAGAGGGGAAGGAGGAAAGCATCAAGTGAATTCTTTTTCTGGCTTCTGGGATTTACAAAATCTTTAAGTTACCGAACAATTCACATTAGGAAGTTTCACCCAGGTCCATGATGCAGGTCTGGCAGACAGCCGGGGGATGGAGACACAGGGGCTTGGGTTAACATCTCTTGCTCGTGCTTCCCCCTTTCCCAGTGTTTTCAGTGCTCTCCAGACTAGGTTGGGAGCTGAAGACAGGCAAAGAAATGAGGTGGCCATGAAAGCAAAGCTAGTGAAGAGGTGGGCACTCTTTGCCCTGCATGCACAGTCCTGGATGTGCAAAACTGCTGCAGCTGCATCTGTTACAGCAGGCTGCAACCACCAAGTGAAAATCAGAATTCAGGGAGGAACAAGGGTGTGCACCACCAAACACATCACTGCATGCCAGGGTTGCTCAGGGTTTCACTGAGAGGCCAGGCTGCCCTTACCCATCTAAGTCTGTCAGCCTCAAAAGTAACTTATTGAGGTCAGTACTCATAACAGCAGTATTGCGGACTGTTGATTCAGTCTTCCGTTCTGAGAAAGCCCCATACTCTCTGGCCCAGTAAGGCTATTACCTGCCAGTCTAAAGGATGATGAATGTTATTTATATTGCAGTAATGGCTAACCATTCAGTGGAGACCAGGGACAGGCTGTGCTATGGACTTTTCAAACTCACACTGAATCAGGACTGCCTGCCCACAGATGGCTGAGTGTATGAAACTGCTGAGACATTTCAGGATAATGGTCTTGAACGCTTTGGACACGATGACCTCCAACAGCTCTGCAGTACTTGTGCTGACTGTAACAACACAGGTGCCATCCCACACTAAAGACATTCATTTCTACCAAATTCTTAGTTACTGTGACATGCCCTTACAAAACCCCTCATCTACTTCAAAGCAGGCAACTCCTTAATAGGAAGGCATTTAAGTTTCTTGATTAATAAGTATAAAAAATATTAATCTATTTCAAACCGAACTGAAAATACGGAGGAATAAAGAGGTATTCTAATTAAGTTTTCCTAATATTTAGCTGCTATAGTTTTGCTGTCCAAGAAACAAAGTGAATCAATGAATAAGAACTACTCAAGATGTAGATGAGAAAAGTAATCCAGCAACAGTAAAACGTGAAGGGCCCGATCCTGTTAAAAAAACCTGTAAAACTAATTTAAATCTGACATGTACACACTTGCAGGATTAGGCTTCACATAATTGCAGGAAAATGTGACTTTCCACTACATTGAGCCAACAGGGTGGATAGCTAACTTTTCTTGGGAAATACCCTCCCAAGGAATAGCCCTGCAAAGATACAGAGGAAATACATCTAAAACATTCAATGAAGATTTTTTTTTCAGTATTAATCATTCTCTGTATCTTAGAAAAATCAGTGACTTCTTTCATATGCACTGAGGTACAGAAACCTAAAATATTAAGTGACATATTTCACCAAGAAATGTCTTAAAGAAGGTGCTGTGGAATAGGTGTCAGCCCCTCCTACATCCCTTCTACAATAAATGTTCCAGTATTGAAGTTCTAAGTATACATCCAGAAACCAGCAGACAACAGTATCCATCATCAACCTTATTAAAAACCAAGTGCTAAAGATATACCTTACCCTTATGTATACTCTTCACACTTAAAAATTGCTTTAGGGGAGGCTATGTCAGAGCTTCATAGCCAAAAGCCTGAAGGCACCAGAGCCCAGTAAACAGACTAAGCAGGGATCAACCTGATATGCTTTTTTCTGTCTTTTCAATCAGATGAGTGGTCACTCCCAAACCGAATGGGAGAAATAAAGCACAAGGTAAGAGACTGCAAGTGCCTTCTATCTGTCTCAACTCTAGAAGTCTCCTAAGAGGACTGCAACATCTGGGCATTCCTTTCACTGTCAAACACTCACAGACCAATGGGATTTGTCAGCAATCTGCTGAGCATATACAGATGACAACTGCAGAGCTTGGAGAGCTCCAGGGCATTTACAGATAGATGGGCCTTTGTGATAGACGTGTTGAACCAGAGCTGAGATCCAGAATCTATGAAAATTACACCCAATAGCTATAAAGCCTTCAGCTGCAGTAGTTAAACTAGGCACTACAATATGCAAAATTTAGCCTGGATGTTTTAGCTTTTACAATTACACGAATTGTTTAAGAGAAGCTGATCAGTCTCTGTGTCACATACTACAAGGAAAAGGCTGTTGACATGATTTTGGAAGGTGGTCTTTGCTGCCTAAACTACATCTCCATTGATCGCTCAAATACATGGAAATAAAGCATCATTTATAAACAGGTTCTGGATTGTCCTAAGTACAAATTTCATGGATGATGGATTTAAAGCTCTCTCCAGCGCCTACATTTCACCTAATGGTACTCTGTCCCTCATAGATTTTCAGCCTGTTGCCACACTATTATCTACATATCTTCCTAAATTTTTTAAAAGATCTTCTTGACAAAGGGATATGTCTTGTTGGTACAACACAGAGATGCACTATATCAGAAGATTTTTGCCTTACTGACATAAGCTCCAAAGGATTTCCAAAGTCAGCTGTATTTTCAATAATTTGTTCATTTTGTATTTTTTAAAATAGGTTTATATGCTTATGATAGGATACTGCTTAAGCCCCTCCATCCTCCAATCCAGCCAGAGGTAGAACTTTGCATCAAACTTTTTATAGCATCAAATAGGAGTTATTTTCCCTGGCATCTTAGAAAGAATGAAATCTTTATTCAGCCAAAGTCTGTACAAAGCATGTTAGCTTTGTGGTATTCAAGAATAGCTGGTTAGATGCTGAGGCTATACTTTCTTCTGCTAAAAGATACATTATCACATCTGTATTTAAATATTTTTGCTTTTTGTGTCTGCTAAAAGCAATACCTATAATTGCTATAATTGAAAATTACAAGATAAAAATATTTTTCACCAGTTTGTCACCATTTTGCATTTAACAACATTAAATATATAGTCTAGTTCAATAACAGAGTTTTGCCTGTTTATATTTACATATAATAAAGGAGAAATAAATGTGTTAAAAAAGAAAAAAAAGAATTGTAAATATGACAAAAATCGAAACAGAATTTGTGGGTTGGTGTATCATCTAAAACCACTTAACAAATTTGAAAAAGAAAAAATCATAGAATCATTTAGGTTGCAAAAGACCTTTAAGATCATCAAGTCCAACCACTAACCTTGCACTGCCAAGTCCACCACACTAAACTATGTCCCTAAGCACCACATTGACATGTCTTTTAAATACCTCTAGGGACGGTGACTTAACCCCTTTCCTGGGCAGCCTGTTCCAATAAACCTTTCGGTGTTAATTTTCAAGTTGCCTCACACAACTGTTTTTAACTACAGCAGCATATAAGATGGCCATTATGTATTTTCATTTGATTTCCTTGCTCAGCAGCCTCATCATAAGGTTTTACCCTTATTAGTGGGGTTATCAGTCTCCACACTTCATGTAACTAGTCAATAATAAACTTTTTTCAGCACTTTTGCATATTTAAGTCATTAGAAAACTTTAAAATGCGCTACCATTATTTTTTTGTGAGTGGGGAGTTGTCATCACATATATATCACAAAAGAAAAAATACAAAAGCAGAAAACATCATGAATTCTTCTTCAAGCAGATGGTATTGCAGTAGCTCTGAACAAATTTATATTAATTACTTTCAGAAAGAAAGAGATGTCATATTTGAGATAAAGGATTCTACCAAACCCACTAAGAACCATCAGTAAGTCTAACAATAGTGAGATTTTTTTAATTAACTCATTGTGACAACTGTCAAGCTGGGGAAAACTTTTTTTTTAATGCCAGTATATTGCTCATTTAAACAAAACCCAGCAATTCAGTCACACTAGAAAAGCTTATGTCCCCAGCTCTGCTGTACAATCTGCACACATGCATATATTACATCTATATGAATAGTTGCTCTTTAATTGTCATCTTTGGGGATACAATATGATTGTCCAGAGCCTGAGCAGAGCCCTACAAATATCAGGACAGAAGGCAATTTGTGATTGAGTTGTAATGAGCTGTCTGTGTTTTCCCTTGTCAGAAGGGGGAGGTTTGGCACCCAGCGCTGGCAGCCTGGTCAGACTTGCTCCCTGTATGGGAGGCTAACCATGTGGTCACTCTTTTTCCCTGTGTCCTCAAAATAAGAGAATACAACTATTGGTAGAGTTTTCACCTCACTCTGTGTGCAGTAACACACTGAAGTACCAAAGACGTCGACTGCAGCCCCTTCTCAAGACACTGCGTGATCACAGCTTGACCAAGAGGTCACAAGGAAATCCCAGTATAGGTCTTGGTGCTATCACAGGGTCTTTGCAACCAATAAAGATGCGGAGATCCCATTAACTACCTCACTCAAGGCAAGGCCTGTATCATTAAAGTGATTTTCTAACAGCAAAATCAACTCTGAATGAGAAATGGGAGTTCAGCCCTTACCTCCTCATAGACATTGTCATTCCTGCTGAAGTCACCAGCTCTCCTTGGAAGCACATGGACATGAACATGCTGAAAATGTAAAACAAAATAATGGTGATTATCAAGCTCATGACTTTCTTTTCTGGATTGTCAGCGTTATTCTCAACACATACAAGTAACCACGCACAGCATTATTTTCAGAGGAAAATACTTTAACCTGTTATATAACTATCTCAACTCTTTAGAGGATATAAAAGATGAAAAACATGAGAGATCAGCTCTGTTTTATTATATGAGCTTCAGAGTGAAATGCCTGGAACTTTAGGGGCTCTGTGGAATTATTCATAGTTGTCAGTCAGAGACATATTTAGCCACAGCTTTGAAATGACAATGTACCTTGATGCTGCAGGTTGTGACTTCAAAACCAACAAGGATAAGAAGGTGACTGTGATGGGACACGGCTGTAGCAGGTGTGGGCAGCCCCGGGCTCAGCGCTGTGCTGCACAGGCTGGGGGATGGAGGAACTGATGGTAGACAACAGAGATCATGCAGGTGGAAAGGCTGTCAGAAAAGGACACTCACCAGGCTGTACAGCATGGATAATACAATGTCTTTAATAAAGATAAGAAGACTCTAATGTTCTGCTTTTCCTCTTAGGAGGTTGTAGCCCAAATATAACAGACTGAAGCCTTCAGTGGTATGAGGTGATGCTGGGGGCACACGTCTGCAGGGACATGGGCTCCAGAGCACCAAGTGGCCCCAGACCTGCAAGGGGCAAGAATTACGAGCCCAGTTTTGCAGAGACCAAAGTGTAAGTGTCACTCTCGTGACAGCAAGGTCATTGCTCAGGGGGGTAGCTGCAGAGGCAGCTTTGGGCTACCCGGTATGGGAGAGAGGTGGGGGGCAATGTATTTTTGTCACAAATGCTGGTGAGATATGGGGTAAAGGAACAAGAAAGTGGGCAAGAAAATAAATATATGACTTGCCACCTTGATGTTGTATTATTACTTTTTTTTTTTTTTTTTTTTGTTAAGAGATTATGACAATCTCTTCATGCTATATAGGAAGGGTAATTCAAGATTCTCAAGAATCACACTCCACTAGGAAATCAAACACTCATCTATGCGCTTTTCTGCAGTAAGTTCAGATACAACATAACGTTGCAAAGCATTCTTTTATCTTTTCCTCTTTCTCTTTCACAGTCTTTTGAGAAAAAAAAAAACAAAACAACAAACAACAAAACACAACTGAGAATAATTCTTCAGGAAAAAAAAGCCAAAACACCTCATTGAGGAGGCAGAAAATGATCTGAGTGACAGATCACATTTATACATCTTCAGATCTTTTCAGATGGTGCCTGAATTCTTCTAAAAAAAAATAAAAATAATAATTAAAAAAAATACTGCATCAGAAACAGCACCAAATGCTTTAAATAGAATTTAGAGAGCTTGCACCTGACTCAATTTGATGAGGTGGAAATCAGCTGAAATTCACGCACCTCACCAAAATATTCTGAAAACATGTCTTAAGTCTATAATGAAATCCAAAATAAAAAAAGATTTTCTTAGGTTATTTGTAAGAAAATTCAAACACACCTATATTGTGTTAGCTTCAATCCATAAGAACATTTGTTCAGTGAATAAAATGAAATCACAAGGATGTTTCAGTTAATGAAATATTTCAAATATCACTTTTTTTTTCTCAGCTTACCCTAGAGAAACCGAATATGCAATTGCTTATTCTTATCATTATCCACAGCTTTCAGTGTACTCAGCTTAGAGATGAGAATGATTCCTGAGGGTTAAAAACTGTGTTTTTGAGTAATACATCAGTGATAGTGTTCTGATAGTGTATTATACTAATATATCATAAGAGCGATAGTGCTCTTGTGATGTATTAGTGCAATGTATCATCTGAACATCACCACTCTCTTGATGTATTGCTCAAAATCACGAGGCAAGTTTAAAGATGGTGTTCAGTAGCCTTAGGCCTGAAATTTTGCTTTTGGACAAAGACAGACTTTTAAGAGAAATAAAAGTGAAGATTAAAGTTTGCAGCAGTATTGTAAAATTTCACTATCGTGTCACACTTGTGGTTCTCGTTACATTTTAAATTCATTCATAAAAATAGAGAATAATATGTCAAACAGTTTCTTTCTCTCCTGATACAAGGAGTGATAGTTTTGTTACAAATATTAATTTTCAGAAATTTCTCTTGATGATATCTATACAGCCTAATATCATCTGTCAACAACCGTATCCCCCAAAAGCTCAGCCACCTTTAAGAGCAAATTTTATCTCTGTGGCAGAATGTTCCAGGATGAACACAGGAGATCTGTATACCCACAACAGACAATTTGGAATATCCAAAAGGATGCAGGAATGTAGTCCAAAGCTCAGTGCAGAGATGCTGCACTGCAGATGCACAGACCAGCACAGCAGGTAATGAATGAGCCTAATGTGATCTTCTACGCAAAATGGGCTCTTGTGATCAGCATGAAAAAAAAAGAAGAAAAAGTGTTCATGACAGCATATGGGCCACTTGGCATCAGTGGGGACATCCTCAAGGGTTACTCACCTTTACTACATGCATTATATTCTCACACAACGCCAGGCTGTATAGCAAAATCTGTCAACTCTATCAGAAAACAAATGACTATTTCCAAGGTTTGAGGTAACTGCAATCAATTTAAAAGAGAGTAATTTTTTCCAGACATCCCTATTTTTTGTTTTTAAATTCCGTGCATGGAACATAAATAAAAATCTGGATTCTCCCTACTGTTTGTGTAATAGAAATGAACAGGAGCAGCAATACTGTCTCAAGTAATTTCCTTCTCTTTAGCTTTACTGAAAAACCACAGGGAAATTCAAGCAGCACAGAGCAATGGCTACCACATAATGAGAAACACTGAATAAGGGGATTTCACACCTTCTCTGATCTGCCTTTCAGCTTTTGTCCTTACTGACTCAGGGACACTGACACTTGGATTCACTAGGAATTCTTTAATTGATCATTTTTGCTCCTTAGTACTATTTGTTATTGTTAAAGCCCCAATCTACCAAGGCTCTTAACCACCAGATCAATTTCAACCTGTAAATTGGTTCAGTGGGAGTATTTGTATCCTGGATATTATGTATATGTCTTGGTGTTTTGCATCCACTGATGGCTACAGGGAGGTCTCCCCAACTGGAGGCAGCAGAAATAACTTCAAGGTGCCTACAAATTAAAGTTGTTTCCTTCCATTTTGTTTTCCAGTCAAAACAAAAACCTGCACGTCCAAAAAAGACATTTGCAGTTGACTGAAATGTGTCAGCAGATACAAACAAAACATTTGGCTGCATTTTTCTTAACCAACCAAACAGATTTGGGCAAATCTTTCCTCAAAACACTGCTTGGAGACAAAAAATCCAAACATTGTGTATACAAAATGTCAAAATAAAGCGTTTCAACTTTTTCCACAGTTATTGTGGGTATCCTCATGGCTGGTGGGTGGCAGACAGCCCCATCACATTCCAGCAGGCTGTATTCAATCATTGTTGATTGTTTTTATTTTTTTTTCCTAAAAAATTGCTTATCCCTCATTTTGCATTGTTTTGATTAATAAGGCGAAAAGCAACATACAACAGCCAAGACATTTACATTAATGGACTGATCAATATCAGCCACATCAGGGTAGAAGAAATGCAGACACACGCTTGCATTGCTTAGAATGTTACCTACCATTCCCTCATCTTGTCAGACACTGATGGAGAAACCTGCGTGTGATTGCAGGAGATGGGCACACGGGGTATGACAACATGAGGACACAGCAATATGCCCCTAGGTGGGGGACACTGTGTGGGTCAAATATGCCTGAGCCCCACCAGCTGCTTCTGACACTGGGAACAAGATTTCCTGCCAGGGATGTGTGGGGCAGCAGCAGCTGCAAGGAGGTTGTGGGAGTTGAATTTTATAGGACCTTCAAAATTAAAAATTGATTAGGCTGACAGTTTTCTAGGGCTGGACTGTAGCTTTCTCCATTTACACAGCGGCCACCAGACTATAAATGAAATCCCAGTTTGAGAAACTCCTAATCGTGAGAATTACCAAGTGATACAAAAATCACTCTTAAGAGATGATTTTTCAAGGCCTTTAAATACAGAATGGCCAGAGAACTAGAAAACATACTGGAAGGAACAAATCTGTAGTGCCAGGGGGAAATTGTGAGCCAGAGCCAGTATGTGCTGCTTCTGACCTCCCACCACAGTGAGAGAATCATCTGCTTGAGCCCCATGGCATTCCCAGTGTGACTGTGGGAGTGTGGGGCTGCTGATGGGCACTTCAGAGCATGCTCATCCCACCACTGCTGAAATCTGACAGCAGGACAGGCATTTGTGAGATTATACATCTAAAGTCAATTTCCAGAGAACCAGGACTGCAAAATGCTCACAAAAGTCTCAGCCAAAAAACCTGAAGCCTGTTTTGTTGGAAAAACACCCATTCAGGTCAGGTGAGTTTTGCTTCAGCACTCAAGGCCATGCAGAAAGCAATGTTCCCAGTTATGGCTGTTTTAATATACTGAATTATAGTCGAATAACCAATGTGTCACCACTTCACTGGAGGTAAAGCAAAAATACTAGGCAAAAATAGACACTGAAAGAGATTTCCTGTGTAGACCAGAATAGTGAAGAGCAGATGACCCTGCCACACACCACTGGGGAGGACATGGACGTTGCCTGCAATAATTCATGAACATTATGTTTTGTTCACTCAGCTGCTGTGCTGGTTAGCAGAGCAACAAAGCTCGGCTTCCAACAGAAAGGGAGATAATAGCCTGTACAAGAGCTCCTCAGCATGCACCCAGGGTCTATTAGCAATAAATGTTGCTATAGAATGAATACATAAAAACTGGCAATGGGTCACTCAACCTTGTGGGCAGGGGGGCTGCCAAAAAGTTGACAGAAGAAGGGCTGTTCCCCCCACACCTGCAAAAGCCGTACACGGCTGAGCTGTGCCTCCACGCAGCGAAACCAGATGCCTTTCAGCAGCTTAATCCTTTCCCTTATTATTTTTCATTCTTTCTACAGAGATAAAACTTTACAGTTGTGGGC